GTTTTTTAAACAGATTTTTATTCGAAAAATATCAAACTGGCATCTTTTTAATTATTTTTTAATGATCTTAATATGTTCTAGAGAAAAAAAAGAGAAGCATGATAAGAAGCTTGAATAATATTATAAGCTGAACACGCAGTCCATGGAATTGCTGAAAGTTTATAAAATGTAAAGCATGCTTATCATCAACTCGGTCGTTCGTCATTGTTTAGTGGAAGGAATCATTAAAGGCTGCATAGATTTCCAAATTAATCGCAAACAATTGGATAAATATATGATCAATGATTAACCCATTTGACAACAAATCAAGAATTGAAGCTTAATGGGGTCATGATATGGGATTGGGACCTCGCTAGTGCTGCCAAATCCTCAAAGATTGAATCTAATCCTAATGCTTTTGCTTGCTATCCTCGAATTTTTAAAGAAACCTTGAACACTGTTAATGTGACAAGCGTCAACAAGAACAATGGTGTTTACACCTGACATCGACTGTGCTAAATTCTTCTGGTTACGTGGTGGTTGAAACTATATTAAAAAAAAAAATTATTTAAAATTATTTTTTATATATTTTTGTATTATTTTCTATGTTGGTGTCAAAAATAATTTTTAAAAATTAAAAATATGATTTTAATATATTTTCAAATAAAAAATACTTTAAATTATACCTACTACCACACTCACAAGCATCTTATAATTAATCCCATCAAGATCATGCTGAATCTTCTGGCTGCAAGAGCTGTAAGTTCCCAAATGGATGCTACAAGCTTTTAACAAGGAAAAAGCAAAGCAGGGTTCATGATCTTGGCTGCTTGCCTATTTCTTTAACCTATCATGATCTTGGTAGCGGTTGTGGATGGGCATGGTTGAAAATGTGACTTTCCCTTGAGAGGAAGTCATTCATGTGTGTGTGTGTATAAATATATTTATGCTATTGGTCAAGCATGATAAAATTAATTAATTCAGCAATTATTATCATGAACTATTATGATATTCTTCGAGTTTTGACTTTCGTGGCTAATCGATTTATTTGAATTGATAGTTGCTGTTGATAGTTCCAAAGAGAGCCTCTACCAAAAGCTTATTACCATTTTCATAAATTCCAAGACGAAGAACATTTTGCTTCACTACCTATCTAGGAACTTAGACAGGGTGATTCGTGATTCATCGTGGGGTCGGGTTGATTTTTGTTGCAGCTTAGTGTTATAAGTGTATTAAAAAAAAATCACGACTCCAGTATCATAAAAATAAAAATAAAAATATAAGTAACAAGTCTTAAGAATTAAAATATAAAAGGATAAAATACAAAAAATATATATATAAAAAACAAAGTACTAATAAACTAAACTTAGGTGAGGTTGTTAAAATTTACAAGTAGAATAATGCAAATAAAATAATCTAATAAAAAGCTAAACATAAAAAGATGAAGTTTAAATTGAATTTTGAAAGTCAAAATAAAAAAAAATAAAAAATTTATTTAGAAAAAACTTAAGTCACCTTACTAAAACTCCTACCTAGATTATGTGATATGAATAATCTAATTAAAAGAAAATTAAAGAAAATAATGTAATTTATTTTTCAAAATGAATAATGCAATAAAAAAACAGTGATAATAAGTGTGACTTTTTCAAACTTGTGACTCTAAATGGTGATTAAACTAGAAGTACCCTATCTAAAAAACTACTATTTTAAAGCTCGGTTTGACCTAACAGGTTAACCCATAATTCAAGGCTTAAGTAGGGTCAGGTTTCAAAAGAAATTGAAGGAGAATTAGTCTAGTGTAAAACAATCAAAAAGTTTACTCATGCCCCGCTTAACTAAGAAAAATTCACTAAAAACTTGTTGACTATTTTATTTTATTTTTTAAAATAATATTATTTTTTTATAAAATAAAAAGATTTGATTGACTTGGATTCACTCAAGTCAGCCCACTTAATTCGTAACTCGGTACTTATTTAGGATCAACTCCCGAGTCAGGTATAAAAACTATAAAAAAAACCACAGAAACCGAATCTCAATAAATCAAATATCGAATGATGAGATAAAAAAAATTTAAGGGTAAAAAAATAATTAATAGAATAAAGGCCTCATTTAAAGTCAAAAATAAAAGGATAATCTCAATTTTGAATTTAAGGAAAAACTTTTTTTAAAAAAATCAAATTAACAAAAGAACAACAAAATTGGGAGCATGAGGACCAAATTCAACAAAAATAAAAATAAAAATCAAGATCATGGATACAAGGATGAAATTGAAAAAAATATATAATTTAATAAAAAAAACAATAAAAATTAAAAATAAAAATATTGAGGATCAAATCTAAAATATCATCAAATTTTGAATTGAATGGAAAAATTAAAAAGAAAAATAAAATTAAAAAAAAATGCAAAATAAAATTAAAAATCAAGAGAGTAGGGACCAAGTTTGAAAAAAAAATGAGATAAAAAAATAAATAAATCTTGAAAGGGTATTATAAATTAAGACAGAATGATGAAATTAAAAATAAATAAAATTTTTATAAAAAGGCTAGGAATAAAAATTAAAAATCAAAAGAATAAAGATTAAAATTTAAATTCCAACAACTAAGATGGTTAGGCAATAATTTTAAAGAAAAAGTAAGAAAGAAGACACATTGAAGACAAACTAGATTACCAAAATCGACATGCTTCACTCCACATGCAAGAGGACATGATAATGTTTTCAATAACATAACGAGAGATATTTTTGTATGTTGAGAGGTGTCACACATGTCGTCAAACGAGCATGAACACTTCCTTTAAGCAAATGAGTCTGTAACATGTGTCTGTTTTTCTTATTTAGTCAGATACTAAATTGCTTATGGGCAGACTTAATAATTATGTAAAAAAAATAAATTATGAAAGGATAAAAAAGACTTTTAATATTAGTTTTGATTTTTTTTCTTTTTTAAGGTATTTTTGTAGTTTCATAATGCATTTTAATTTATTGTTTATTTTTTATCAAATTTCAAATTATTCATCTATTAAAATTCTAGTAATAAAAAACTATTGTAAAATTATAAAAATATCTCTTAATGCTAGGTTTATTTTTTTATCCCTCTTATAGTTGTTTTGGTCATTTTATTGTGCAATCAAGAAAGAAAAAAAGTTATTTATTCACTGTTAATTTGATAATGATAAATGGTCTTGTGATAAAACTAAGTTTTATAAAAAGATTTATTCATGGAAAGATCTCAATACTTTCAATAGCTAATATTAAGTGTTTTTAGTAAAGAGATAAAAATATCATTACATTGTTCCTCAACTTTAGTTTTCCAATGAATTTTAACTATTTTTTAATTAAAACCCAAAAGGTCTTTAGGTTTTTTTTTAAAAAGAAAATTTAACTGAGAGAGACATTGTGGGCGCATAGTTTATTTGAGTTTAGAGCTATTCAAGTTGAGCTTCTAAGTTAAAGAATAATAAATTTCCAGCAACATACCAAGTATATTATTGAGAGAACTGAAGATATATTCCTGAGGTGTTGTGCTCCCGGCTTTGGGTGAACGGATCTTTTACTATAATACTGTTTTAGATTTTTTATTCAAAAAACTAAATTTTTTAATATATATATATATATATGAATTATCAACTCATTTGTTTTTTTAAAAAAAGTTAGTATCTTATATAATAACTTATCTAAACATTATTTGACTTTCAAAACTAAAATAGACTGCAACACTAATTGGATTTTAAATTTAAAAAAAAATATTTTTTTTTCCAAAATTAACATCATATTCTAACTAATCAAAACAACTTTAATTTGAAAATTCAAGTTTATTTGAATATTGCACACCTAGAGTGAAAGAAACCTCCCTAGAAATAAAACACATAATTATAATGATAATTATAAAATAATCCTGAGCACAATTATTAATTTATCAACTCAAAACCCATCATTTTATTTTTAATTTTTTATTAAAACACCATTATTTTAATAAAAAAACAAAATATAATTTAAATTGACCTGTCAATCCTAAATCTAGTCAACTTTTGAGGATCTTACAACAATAATTGATTCTATATATATATATAAAAGTTAGGTGAATTTGCGATTAAAAACCAAGAAATGGAAATATAATCATCTCTCTTTTATTTATCCAAAATAGGCCCTTTTTGTTTGATAAAATATGACGCATCAAAAAGACTAATCATTAACCAGCCATTATCCATCGTGGAGGGTATGGAGAGGTTCATTTCCTTGCACCAATCATCCATGGTTTCAGGCCCAGCTGAGCAGAGAGAATCTCTGTTGAGGTCAACTTTGTCCTGACAGGGGCCCCACCACAAACTCCGAAACCTCTTTTTCTCTTAACCTCACCGGTTTACAGACAGCGAAAGGGCTGCATCCATCAAAATTCTTGGGACAAGTGTCACCTGTACATCCACGTGGCACAATCTCGGACGTCTATCCTCCAACGGCTATCTTGGGATGCATGTATGCACTGTCCACAGTGGACTTCTGGGCCCACCTTTGGCAGACATTTTGACAAAAAGAAAAGGTTATTCCTATGAATTGCAGAACCAAAAAATAATAATAACAATAATTTCAAGGTAGAAAAGGCGTTAAATTTCTTATTAAAGAAATAAAATAAAGTTGAAAGAAGAAAACAAAAGAGAGACGAAATTATATCTTAGTCCCTATATGTTTAACGATTGTTAAAAAAGTGTTCTCAATTTATAAAATCACAAACCAATCCCTTAACCTTCAAATCATTAATGATGTATCAGTTTATCAATTAAAATCTGAATAAAAAGCATAGAATATTAGAAAAAGAAGACTAACGGAGGGCCTGGATTGCAATTTTTCTTACAAATGTTGGAATTAAAAATGGAATTTCTTTAAGAAAAAGGACTAACTTGTTATTCTCTTGGAAATTCGGAAACTAAGTTAAAAGCTAGTAAAAATGAATGACTATGTTTTTTTTTGGAGTGGAACCCGCTTAGGATCTTTGACGGGGACACGAGTTTCATTTTTTCTGTTTCCATGTTGAGCCCTGCCGCTGAACAGTTCTGTTCTCCTCTCTCTTTGTTAGATTCTTTTCCTTTTCCTTCTTTTGATTTATTTATGTAGCAGTCAGTAGTTGTTTTCAAGTTAAAGAGAGACTTTGTTTTCTTTTGGGTCATTTTAACGAAAGAGACTTCGAGTGTCTTCACTTTCACACCACCATCAACATGGCTTTAAGCTATAATGACACTATCACTTATCAAATTTGACAAGGTTTGATCTTCTTGTTTTTGTTTTTGAAGCTGTTGCCTGTTTTTTTTTTTTTTTCCTGAATAGCCATGGTTCCTGTCCAGAATTAGCGATAATTAGAATGGCTGGTTTTAATTTTAATCCGGGTACCTCCGATGATGCTTTGGTCTTCAAGTTGCTTGTGTTTTGAGCAACTTTTTAATGGTGCACAAGTATTGAGCTTTTGTTTGTTGGCAATACCTCATTATTTGGGTATGTGCCATTTTGTGTTGTGGTGATTGTTTTAACTAAGTGATGAACTTGGGTTTAAGAGGTTTTGACAGATAAATCTTGGTTCTTTGAGTTTGAGTTAGTATGGAGGAGGTTGAGGAGGCACACAAGGCAGCTATCGAGAGCTGCAATAGAGTTATTGGCCTTTTGTGTCAGCCAAAGGATCAAGTTCAGGGTAGGAACTTAATGGTGGAAGCTGGAGAGACTGTGTTTAAGTTCAAGAGAGTTATATCTCTTTTGAGCACTGGTTTAGGTCATGGAAGAGTAAGGAAGTTGAAGAAGTTTAGATCATCTTTGCCTCAAAACATCTTCCTAGATAGTCCTAATTGCAAAACAATTTTAGCACCAAAACCTCTCCAGATGGTGCCTCCAAATTTTCTCGAAATCCCACTTGGTGACATGGATGCTAAGTCTAAACTTCCTGTGCAAATTGCCCAGAAAATGTTTCTTGAAAACCCAGTACTTGAATTGAACTCAAACACCAGGCCTCCTCTACAAATTGCACAAACAAAACCACCACCAAACTTTCAGTTTCTCCAACAACATCAGCAGATACAGAGGGTGCACTTTCAGCAACAGCAGCAACAAATGAAGTATCAGGCTGATAGGGTGTATTCTAGGAGTAATAGTGGGATAAACCTTAAGTTTGATGGGTCTACTTGCACACCAACCATGTCGTCCACAAGATCATTCCTTTCATCTCTGAGCATGGATGGTACTGTGTCTAATTTTGATGGAGATTCATTCCATTTGATTGGCATGCCTCACTCATCTGATCACATCTCACAACAAACAAGGAGGAAGTGTTCTGGTAAAGGAGAAGATGGGAATGCGAAATGTGCTAGTGGTGGTAAATGTCATTGCTCAAAGAGGAGGTAAGATCAAAATCCCCATGTTATATTCTATGATTGATTTTTTTGTTGATTTTGATTGTAATCACCTTTCTTTTTTCTTTAGAAAACTGAGGGTGAAGAGATCCATTAAAGTTCCTGCAATTAGCAACAAGGTGGCAGACATTCCTCCTGATGAGTATTCATGGAGGAAGTATGGACAAAAGCCAATTAAGGGCTCTCCACATCCTAGGTATATCTGATTTAAGCTTCGCTCTAATATACTCCTATTTGTTTAGCTTTATGATCTGCGGTTGATCATTATGTTAGATTGTCTTAGTTTTCCTTTGTTTTGATGTGATGACAATTTACTTTCCGACGAGTCGGAGGATTTTTTTCACTTTCACTTGCCAACGCTATCCGGCACAACTATGTGCTCTGGAAAAACCAGCCGATAAATAAATTCCAAAGATTGCTGTCTTTTAGGTAGCTGATTAATTGCAGAATAAGTATCATGTAGTTTATGCTATTAAAAAAGTTTGAATGTTTTGCATCACTTACATTTGCCTTGGTTAGCAATCAGAAATTGTCAGTGTTTGCTGCTAAAGTCTGAATAGTTTAGATGAGCATGTTTTACCTGGTTTATTCAAAAATATTTGTAATGCAGGGGATACTATAAATGTAGCAGTCTGAGAGGTTGCCCAGCGAGGAAGCACGTTGAGAGATGCCTGGAAGAACCGTCAATGCTGATTGTAACCTATGAAGGTGACCATAACCATTCTAGGTTGATCTCATCGCAGTCTGCGCATACATGAAACATAGCTGATCTCTTCATTTGATCTCACTTCAAGAACTCGACTTCCAATAGTTCAAATCCAACCAGAACCATTTGGAGTTTCTTTGTGAATTACTAATGTATATAACATGTTGTTCAGACCTGAGATGGGATATGATGGAACAGATTGTCATTCATTGACAGGGTTTTTAAGTATTTAGCTTTAGGGTTAGCCTGGTTTGAACTGCTCTTATATAGAATAGGGATCACAAATTGTAAACCTGTACTTCCTTCAAAATCCAAGTTTTATTTTGATCATTGCATTTGCAAATCTAAGTTTGTTTCCGTGCCAGGTTTTCTTCCATTAATTTTATGCAAAACATGACAGGATGCTTTGCGAGTATAATTTTGGCTTATATTATTGGCATGGTGATCTTCATATGTCAGCGTCTCTCGGCTCTTTTTATGAAGTAATTAACTTAATACATGCTGTTTTATCTGTGACAAGCATTCCCTTGACATGTACAGAGAAATAAAAAGAAGAGTTGCTCCTGACTTTACAGTGAAATAAAGAGAAAACCAGGGATCCTATTCACCTGTTTAACAACAGTGTGGCAATTTAAAAGCTTTTCCTTAATTTCCTGGTATCAAGCACAGCTTCAAACAGGTCGCCTGCTTATCCAAACCCCGACTGCCATCATTTTCATGTCTACTTGGGGAGCTTATGGTCTCAAGCAAAGTGTAAACCTCTCTGAGCTGCTTCAAGCTTATTCATCACGACAGAAGTTGAGCAACCTATCAGATGCACGCAGAAGAATTCATAGTAGTTAGGGAATGTCATCTCCTATAATCTGGTCAGCATACCATCCCTGTTGCTCTGCCAAATTCCTAATGGAGGAGAAATAGAAGTAAAATAACTTGTGGAATCTTCATATTCACACTTTGGGCACCATAATTGAGTGGGCTCTTTATTTCTCGCTTAAGTTCATACGAGCAGCTGAAGGAAACCAGCCCAGAAACACAAGTCGCAAGGAGCATCACTAAATCTTTGTCAGAAAGAATGTTTGGCACAGCAGGTCCTAAAGTGGCAGCTTTCAAACGGAGTCCAAAGTAAAGAAAGCAACCCATCATAGCCTAGGCCCTAGAGCAATGACAGCAACTTTTCCTTTAAATCATGCCATGCCCTGGCAATTTTGGCCCCGTGCGTAAAGCTTATTTGCAACTCGGAGGTGTTTGTTTTACAGCAAATATTTTTGAAACAAACAGTAATAAATAAATAATATTTTTCAATCATCAAATAAACCACAACAACCACCGCAACTGTCACCACCATTATCATCATGGAAACGGAACTTCCTTGCCCTAGGGAACAAAATGTATGGCTCTTTACCACACACTCATTTTGGCCGTCAAGAAATGTTTACCTGACCACCAACTCTCCAATTCTACCATCATCCTTTACACCTATATTGGGTTAAAAAGACACTGCTAGACACTGAAGAGGCCATGGTACTGCGATTTGACTGGATGGTAATCATCAATCCCTAACCTTAGGATAGCATTTCTAACTCACCGGTGGCACCTTAGCAACAGATTGTTCAGTTGTGCTCCGTATACCATTTTATTGCCTTTATTTAATATTGGAATTCGAGTTTCCCAGTGACGATTTCTTGGGATGGACAAAGCCAATTTAAACTTGATTTCGAGTGATATTAACTTTGCTTCCGCCCTTGATTAGTTCAATTTACACTTTTCTTAGGTTCAATAAGCCAAGTTTTATTAAGATGAAAAATCAGGTTCGCTGGATATAATAAGAGGAAATTTTAGGTTGATGTCCTTCAGCCAAAACGTTCACACCATAGCTATTAAACTCAATCCAAGCCAAGGTGACTGTCGTCCGAAGTTCAGCCACGGCAAGGTTTTTTTTTCCAACGGTTTTAAAACCTAATCCAGATAAATTTGTATCACTTGATAAGTTAACTCATGATTTGGTTGATCCATCTAATTCTGATTTCGGGTTTATCCATTGTCCTGACCAGTCTTTTAAAATCACCATGTTTTCCAAACACTTGATTAAAATATGAGTTTGAAAAGAGTAATTTGAAACAGCTTTCACTAATAATATAATTTCTAATGCAATCGCATAGCTTCCCTGAATATGCTTATGTAATCATAACAAGTTCACAAGAACAATTCATCAAAAACCTAACTAGAGAAAGAAAAAAGGTGCAGAAAAATCCACATCCACCCAAAGTAAGTGCCCCATTTCACTAGAGAGGAATGAAATGAAACTGAAAGAGCGTGTTGCACCAATACCAGTCTTCCATGCATAACGGGCTTGTAAGAAATTGGGAACTCGGGAAGATAATGGCCAATCATCTCCGGCACAATGATCATATTTCTAAGATGAGTCCTCAAGGGCTCTGGCTTCTCCCCATCCGGGCCTCCCTTTTCTGTTCCAAGCCACCAAAAAACAGAGTAGACCACAGACTATACTCAAAATATACCATACCATGAGGGTTGAACCGGAAATTTAAAATATTCTTGTAAGGCAACTTGATTTGGAACCAGCTTTAGAATCTCTGTTTTATAAATGGTCATAGTTTGATGCATTTTTCACAAACAAGTCCCAAATGAAAATTCAGTGACCTGCACTGCACATACATGAATACATGCATGGAAGGGTATGGAAGCAAGCACGCAGAATGGTTACACCGCAGAGGCAGTCATCAGAACTCTATTCAATTAATAGCTATACATATCGTTTCTAACTTCTATTGAATAAACCAGCCCTTCTGTTATAAACTCGAGCTTCTTCTTCGATAACTTTTCAAGCACCATGATTGCAATTGCAGAGCAAACTTGATAAACACAAACAAGAGACAGAGTGAAGAGATAAAGAAAAGAAAACACATCCCATAATGTGAAATGAACACATGATAACACTACTCAATACCAAATTGCACAGTGTGAATTGCTATCTTATGAAGTCATAAACAAATACAGAGAGAGATGGAAGAAAAGAAATTACCTTACAGCTTTACGCAATTTCATGATCGATGTCATTGGCTTCCTCTTCACACCTCTTTGAAACCCGTTGTTGCAATAAACCCAAAACCCTAAACAAATAAAAAATAACAAGAATAAAAGCATGAGAACTAACAGCCCATCTAAAATTTCTGAATTTTCTAATCCCAAAATCTTATTACCTGCAGCCCGCTCCGGCGGGAAAGAGCTTGACAAGTACATCGGTGGACATGTCAAGGAAAGCACCTAAATCAACGCCTCTGAACTGAACTTCTTGAAAGCTCTCTTCTTTGGCTACCCTCTCGCCACTGTTACTTCCGTCTCCACACCCACCTGACATTTAAAAAAGAAGATGAGAAAGGAAGCCAGCGAGAGAGCAAAGTAGCAAAAAGAAGATGAGAAAGGAAGCCAGCGAGAGAGCCAAGTAGCAGAGATTAGAAAAAATATTTGGACCATTTCTCGATTTGTGCGTGTCATCCTTGCGCAGGGGCCATGCTAATCTTCTCTGTATCGTTCCAATTTTATCGGATGTCCCCGAAGGGACAAGTTTTACGTCTCAGCTTCACCAATATAAACACTTCATGTGTTCTCTAACCAGACGATGTGGTATATCTAGTCCCGTTGCGACTAGGCGTTTCGCTCAGTCGGGTTGGCTCTCAACTTGATTACGTCACCACCAGTAAACAATTGGTGGGGCTAGACTTGGTGCGATGAAATATTTCAGCCCCGCCTTGTTTTAGGTGACTGTGCCTTTGTTTTTATTTTTTAATTGTTATTTCTTTAGCTTTATAGACTTTTTTTTATTGTTTTTTTTTCAATTTCATCTCTAGCTTTTTATTGTTTTATAATTTTACTTCTTTTTTTTTTTACCTTCTATAGGGTTGTTTACAGGCTTATAACTAAGGTCACATGTTTTGAAAGTTAACACGAGTTAACTTTAATTTTTTAAAGATTTTTTTAAATTATATTTTTTAATTTTATCCTTCAATATTTGATTGATTAAGAATTAATTTTTGTATTTCTTTATTTTTCTTTTTCCTTCTATTGGATTAGCAAGTTATCATAGATTAACATAAATCTTTTATTTATTATTTTTTTAAAATTACTTTTTTTCGTTTCTTTGAACATTAAGATGTTTTATAATTGAGATTTATAATTTAATTTAATTTTTTATAAGATTATTTTAATATCACCATCAGGTCGTAAATTTAGTATACTAACTTAGATGAGTTTATTTTGTTTTTTTATACTTTTTTATGTTATTAATTTTTTATTATAGTTATATTTTTTATTTGTATTATTTAAATTAATAAAGCTTATTAAGTTTAGTATAATTAATGACCTGAATCTCTAATTTTTTATTTTTTTCTCTAATGCTTGTATCCTCTTAATATTTTTTTAACTTCAGATAAAATTTGGTCAGCCCACATTATACTCATACCCTAGTATTGAACTAACCAAGAACTAGATATAATTGATTTAAGATCAACCCAACATGTGTCACTTTATAAAAAAAATCTGTAAGAAATAAAACATCTTTCTAAGTATTGAACTGGTGACCAGTGGAATATATATAAATATATCTTCATTTCATTTTCTTCCCTGCCATGCCATTGACGTATTAAACTTCGAAATATCTCCTTAACTGTACAAAGATTAGCTTACCAACCAAGCAGCCTGTAGCTCAATAGCGTAAGGCGCTGCTCGCCTTCTTTCGAACCTCGATTCGAGTTCCAGTAGGAGTGGGGTTGGTTAGTGGTGTCCTTCCTGATTCTGCTAACTCCTTGCTGTGTGGTACGCTTGTCGCCCCCGCGGTGCCTAACCTGTTCAAACTGGTGACCAGTGGAATATATATAAATATATCTTCATTTCATTTTCTTCCCTGCCATGCCATTGACGTATTAAACTTCGAAATATCTCCTTTAAGAAGTGTACAAAGATTAGCTTACCATGAAGTACGGTGTCGCACACAATTACTGCCATTTAATTAATCAAACTTCATAGTTAATTAATTATTCTCAAAAAGATTTAAGAAGAAATTATCAAGCTTTAATCTCTTATTAAATATCTTGGGGACCCACTTTTTGGTAGTAATATGATTAATCTTATCTGATAAATATGTTTTATGTATTAAATATTGCTTGCATCCAGCAAAGTCATAGTTGCGTATTAGGTTCTTTGTAGAATTAAATTTAATAATTAAATGTTTATTTATTTATTTATAATGATGAATTCTATATTTCTAGAAGATGAACAATTGGATTAGCACCAAAAAACAGACAAGATAGTTCATAGTATCTTCGCTTAATGTAGTGGACATTTAGTCATCAAACGTCAGGCAAACATGTCATGTAATTGAATTATTAGTGCAAATGTCACTTAAACCGAACTCAAACCCTAGATTAATTGATGGCTAATTTAGTATTTGAGATGAACACACTATTCACAATTTTTAATGACGAAATGACTTGGGAATATTGTTTTTCCCATTCAACCCGCTGTTTAAATTGTTTTTTAAACAGATTTTTATTCGAAAAATATCAAACTGGCATCTTTTTAATTATTTTTTAATGATCTTAATATGTTCTAGAGAAAAAAAAGAGAAGCATGATAAGAAGCTTGAATAATATTATAAGCTGAACACGCAGTTCATGGAATTGCTGAAAGTTTATAAAATGTAAAGCATGCTTATCATCAACTCGGTCGTTCTTCATTGTTTAGTGGAAGGAATCATTAAAGGCCGCATAGATTTCCAAATTAATCGCAAACAATTGGATAAATATATGATCAATGATTAACCCATTTGACAACAAATCAAGAATTGAAGCTTAATGGGGTCATGATATGGGATTGGGACCTCGCTAGTGCTGCCAAATCCTCAAAGATTGAATCTAATCCTAATGCTTTTGCTTGCTATCCTCGAATTTTTAAAGAAACCTTGAACACTGTTAATGTGACAAGCGTCAACAAGAACAATGGTGTTTACACCTGACATCGACTGTGCTAAATTCTTCTGGTTACGTGGTGGTTGAAACTATATTTAAAAAAAAAAACTATTTAAAATTATTTTTTTTATATTTTCGTATTATTTTCTATGTTGGTGTCAAAAATAATTTTTAAAAATTAAAAATATTATTTTAATATATTTTCAAATAAAAAATACTTTAAATTATACCTACTACCACACTCACAAGCATCTTATAATTAATCCCATCAAGATCATGCTGAATCTTCTGGCTGCAAGAGCTGTAAGTTCCCAAATGGATGCTACAAGCTTTTAACAAGGAAAAAGCAAAGCAGGGTTCACGATCTTGGCTGCTTGCCTATTTCTTTAACCTATCATGATCTTGGTAGCGGTTGTGGATGGGCATGGTTGAAAATGTGACTTTCCCTTGAGAGGAAGTCATTCATGTGTGTGTGTGTATAAATATATTTATGCTATTGGTCAAGCATGATAAAATTAATTAATTCAGCAATTATTATCATGAACTATTATGATATTCTTCGAGTTTTGACTTTCGTGGCTAATCGATTTATTTGAATTGATAGTTGCTGTTGATAGTTCCAAAGAGAGCCTCTACCAAAAGCTTATTACCATTTTCATAAATTCCAAGGCGAAGAACATTTTGCTTCACTACCTATCTAGGTACTTAGACAGGGTGATTCGTGATTCATCGTGGGGTCGGGTTGATTTTTGTTGCAGCTTAGTGTTATAAGTGTATTAAAAAAAAATCACGACTCCAGTATCATAAAAATAAAAATAAAAATATAAGTAACAAGTCTTAAGAATTAAAATATAAAAGGATAAAATACAAAAAATATATATATAAAAAACAAAGTACTAATAAACTAAACTTAGGTGAGGTTGTTAAAATTTACAAGTAGAATAATGCAAATAAAATAATCTAATAAAAAGCTAAACATAAAAAGATGAAGTTTAAATTGAATTTTGAAAGTCAAAATAAAAAAAAATAAAAAATTTATTTAGAAAAAACTTAAGTCACCTTACTAAAACTCCTACCTAGATTATGTGATATGAATAATCTAATTAAAAGAAAATTAAAGAAAATAATGTAATTTATTTTTCAAAATGAATAATGCAATAAAAAAACAGTGATAATAAGTGTGACTTTTTCAAACTTGTGACTCTAAATGGTGATTAAACTAGAAGTACCCTATCTAAAAAACTACTATTTTAAAGCTCGGTTTGACCTAACAGGTTAACCCATAATTCAAGGCTTAAGTAGGAATAATGTAATTTATTTTTCAAAATGAATAATGCAATAAAAAAACAGTGACAATAAGTATGACTTTCTCAAACCTGTGACTCTAAATGATGATTAAACCAGAAGTACCCTATCTAAAAAGCTATTATTTTAAAGCTTGGTTTGACTTAACAAGTTAACCCATAATTCAAGGCTTAAGTAGGGTCAGGTTTCAAAAGAAATTGAAGGAGAATTAGTCTAGTGTAAAACAATCAAAAAGTTTACTCATGCCCCGCTTAACTAAGAAAAATTCACTAAAAACTTGTTGACTATTTTATTTTATTTTTTAAAATAATATTATTTTTTTATAAAATAAAAAGATTTGATTGACTTGGATTCACTCAAGTCAGCCCACTTAATTCGTAACTCGGTACTTATTTAGGATCAACTCCCGAGTCAGGTATAAAAACTATAAAAAAAAAACCACAGAAACCGAATCTCAACAAATCAAATATCGAATGATGAAATAAAAAAAAATTTAAGGGTAAAAAAATAATTAATAGAATAAAGGCCTCATTTAAAGTCAAAAATAAAAGGATAATCTCAATTTTGAATTTAAGGAAAAACTTTTTTTAAAAAAATCAAATTAACAAAAGAACAACAAAATTGGGAGCATGAGGACCAAATTCAACAAAAATAAAAATAAAAATCAAGATCATGGATACAAGGATGAAATTGAGAAAAAAATATAATTTAATAAAAAAATAAGAATAAAAATTAGAAATAAAAATATTGAGGATCAAATCTAAAATATCATCAAATTTTGAATTGAATGGAAAAATTAAAAAGAAAAATAAAATTAAAAAAAAATGCAAAATAAAATTAAAAATCAAGAGAGTAGGGACCAAGTTTGAAAAAAAAATGAGATAAAAAAATAAATAAAGCTTGAAAGGGTATTATAAATTAAGACAAAATGATGAAATTAAAAATAAATAAAATTTTTATAAAAAGACTAGGAATAAAAATTAAAAAT